TGGGAGCAAGAGTAAAGATACGTGTTCTACTTTAGTGGAATCATATATATATATATATATATATATATACACACACACACACACACACACACACATATATATATATATATATATATATATATAATTCGACTAAGGTAGCACGAGAAAAGGTTTGGTGGTGTTAAGTCTGTTGATGGTGATGGCTGCTCAATTACACCACGTGGTTCTATCCATCTCAGCCCGAAAATAAGTTTTACCCATTCCCGAACACCTACCCCATAGTTAATCTTAAGCCATCTTAAAATACTGAAATTTTTTTTTAATAAAAGTTCATAAATAAAAAAGGACGTAACATTTGCCGTACATTGTTCCATAAATTTATTCATTTGTCCCATGACTGCCTCTTTTATCTTATATAGGCATTAACCTGACCGACTATCCTGTAACGTAGCCTTTGCCTTTTCTATAATTATTTTCACTGTAATTGTTCTCGTGAACTTTCTTCTATGGTTCCTTTACTTAATACCTTTAAGCGAAGTATTATATTACAGTTGAAATGGCTAGATAAGTAAGTTCTATGCTAAGAGGTTCTTCTCTCGCACTTCTCGCTTGTTGAACTGTCTTCCGTCTTCTTGCTTTCCAGTCAGCGTTGATCTTCAAAAGTTTAAATACAATGTCTATTGTTATCTTCTGTATTCTTAATTCCTAGTATTTTATTGTTCTCCCTCCTTTATAATGTTAAACCATTTTTCAAGATTCGCCATGTCTTCATGATGAATGTGGACATGAGTCTCCGCAACTTCCTCTCTTGTGTCGCTCTTACGACCTTCTGCTCATTGCCATCCCTGTTTCTTCTTGTTTTGACATTATTTCACTGAAACTTGTTAAGTAGATTAGTCGCTATGTTACCCTGCTTCTGTTGTCTCCAATAAGCCCTCTGAGTTAAATATAGACCCTCTTGAACCTTCGTTAAATAACCAGTCTAAGATAAGGCACACTGTTACAAAAAAACTCTTTTGACGTCATTTATATCCAACGATGATGCTCTTCTCTGTTGAGTGGAATTGTGTCTTTGTGTAAGGCTTTTTGCTCCTTTTAAAATGGTTGAAACACAAGCGTAGCTTGCTAAAATTATCACCACGAGAGGATTTGTGTTTCAAACGCAATGGCTGGCCTTATCTGAAAAAGGTACTCAAAATCAATGAAAGGTAATAACAATGCTGTGGAGTGTGTGGGTCTCCGCCACATTGTTGGGCTTAAAGGTCAACTTCGTGCAGCATACTGTTGAACTTATGGGATGGCGTGATATCATTTGTCAACGCACAAAATGTCCTTGAAAGAAATGAAGTAAATCCAGACTAATTTTAGGTAACTAAATATGGAAATGTTGTTTATAATTGTCGAGGAGACTTCGTTTTCAAGTTAAATTGATTCAAGCCATTTTTTTAAATTTTTTGGTCTGCTTGCATCGACCTAATTTGTTTTATCTTTTTCATAATAAACACGAAATTCCCATGTCAATTGGAGTGTGGTATCACAAAGTTAGGTCGAGTTAGCGTAAAATAACAGCGTAGATGAAAAAAACAAACACATTTTTCTACACCAATCTTTCGTTATGAAGCCCTATGTCTATAACTTGCTAGGTATAAGAGACAAGATGACCCCGGAATCGAACCCATTACGTGTCCAGGTCAAATGTCAGCAATGGCTAATTATGAATAGCTTTTTTTTTTAGAAAATATTAGGTAACTGTTATGTAATACCAGTTATCGTCTATGTCCGTGAATACTGAACAATATCCTCACAGATGAAGGAGAGACTTGAAGCAGCAAAAAATGGTTCTACTGGAGGATGCTGAGGATACCATAGATTGAACATGTGAGCAATATTTTAGAGAAAATGGCAACAAAAGAGAAACTCATACTTAACATTGGGAAGAGACAGCTGAAATTTCTAGGGCAGATAATAAGGAAAGAGGACTTGGAAAATTTGATACTCACAGGACAGACTGAAAGCAAGAGGGACAGGAGAAATAAAAACCACAACCTACTTAGTGAGTTTGAGTAAATGAATGGTGAAACAATGTTTAGCGGAAATAACAAAAAGACAAAATTTATCAAGAGCTACGTAGGACAGGTAATTGTGGTGAGCCATGATCGCCTACATCCTGAAGGGACACGGCACATGTAGAAGTAGATTGTTGTTAATTTTCATTTTATTGTTGCTGTCACTTACGTGCGTGAATGCAAAGCTGCCTAAATGATCGTTTTTGGTTTTGAGCGTAGTCCTTTGAATTCCCCATCCATAGCCGAGATTTCATATATGTGATTTAAAGAAAATATTTCTATTTGACGGGGCAAATACACACGCTTTCTCTCTCGGTTTGAAAAGCACTTCACACATGGCCATAAGCTTGAAGGGTAACGGATGTAACCTGAAAGATATTTCTGCTTCTTCGTACGCACCAAAAACTTTTGACTAGATGGAAAGATTCCTCTCATATAAGTTCTTGAATGCTGGGAATTTTTTTTCTTTGCTCTTTTGCTTCATTATTTAATAATTGTTAGATATTCTCATATATATTTAAGAAGCACGGTAAAATAATGGATTGCGCCTCGGGTTGAGGAATCGGAGAGAAGAGTTCGAATCCCAGTCGAGTTCATTATATTACATACTAATATTCCTGGGAAAGTATTCACTTGTAGGACAGATTGGGTTCTATAGACTTTGATGGCAACTGGTCTAGGTGAAGGAAAAACTCAGAATCCAAAAGCTGCTGCCCGTGTGAAGGACATGCTATGCAGCTAAGGAAAGGATTGTTCGTACAGACTCGATGATTCTGGCCACTGAGAACTTTTTATTGAGGGTTTTTCTAGAATTCTTAAATTTTTCAAGAGTGTAAAAATTGTTCGTAGTGTGTAATGTTCCAAACGCTTTCCGATACTTCTTTAGTCATTTTCAAAAGGCGTGCTGTTAATTTCTTTTTTGTTACTGTGTAATTCTGTGATGCCTATTGTATGAGATTAGCGTTTATTCCGAGAAAGGAAGGCGCCTGAAATCCAAATGGACGTCTTTTTATTAAAAAAAAACAAAACAACAAAACATTTAGCACATTGTTTCCGTTGTTAAATAAAGTGAGATTAATACTTAAAGAGGTGGCCGAAAGCAGCTGGGACAATAGACACTATTTTGCTCTAACCAAACGGAAAATATTAAGAATACTAGCATAGCTCAATAAAAAAAAATATATATATCTAAATCATATTCAATCAATATCTATCATATTCAACGAGACAAGTTTGAAAGAATGGTCGCTGCCCAAATATACATTACACACACACAGAAATGTACACACACACATATATATATATATATATATATATATATATATATATATATATATATATATATATATATATATATATGTATGTAATGTATAAAATTATAAAAAGATGTAGTCACAGCTGGATTAGACCAGGAAACAGTAGTATTAAAAAGTTCTCAATACACGTATAGAAAAACAAAATAAAATAAAAATGAAAATTTAACATGCAGAGTTTTTAAATTTGAACAAAATTAGGAGATCAGCAGGTCATGCTACCTTAGTTTCAACTTTGCGGTATCTTCAATGGATCCGGGCTAAAATACCGAAAGGTTGAATCCAAGGTAGCGTGATCGGATGATCTAATTTTTTTTTTAAAAAAAGTAATTTATATATATATATGTGTGTGTGTGTATCATACTGTTTCGCTGAATGACAACTCTTCAGTGCGACTAGACATCCGAATGCTTCAAGCCCGGACTGAAACCCAACCGATGTGGTGTAAAGCAGTGTCTCTACCACTGAGCTATCTTTACTCGACAGCCAAATCTAGCGTATTGTTTGTTTTTTTTTTTTTTTTTTGTTTTTTTAGAAATGTAAACAAACGCCAAACAGCCGATGTGCTTCATTCATTTTACCGAAGAGCTTCGCATTAACGCACGTGGCTGTTGTTTTTTAGAATTTGCTTGTCTAATACTCCCCCCCCCGCAAACTGCTTTCATTTAATCACCACGGTGAATCTTCACTGCCTGCCATTAGCATGGCTGGTGCTAAACTCCAGGAGATCAAAACTGTGCACCTTCTTGGTCTCAAACTTTCCCCTGACATGAATTGGAGTGGCTATATTGAATTAATTACTATGTCTACAGCTTGGAAAGTTGGCTCGCTCTGTCGTGACACAATTCTTCTGGTCAGAATCGTTCTTGCACATTTATAGACCTACCATTGAATGTTACTCGAAATTCTTGACAAAATCCAAAGAAGGATCTGTAATTTTATCGGTCCTGACCAGACATCTCGACTTCAGTTACTTTCCGTTGTGACGTGGCCTCTCTGTGTCCTTTCTACAAATATTTTCATGACATTTGTCTTCATTTTTGTTGCCATATTCATTCCTTCAATATCTGTCTATATTTCTGAGATGAGGTATTGTAATTATTTACATTATTTGCATTGTTCAGACTGTTGTCCTCATTTTTGTTGCCATATTCACTCCTTCAATATCTGTCTATATTTCTGAGATAAGGTATTGTAATTATTTACTTTATTTGCATTGTTTGGGCTGTTGAAAAATTAAAACAGGTACGTTTCAGTTCTTGTTTTCCTTAAAACTTTGTCTTTTCTCACAGGTTCAACTAATGGTATTGCTTTAAATATAATGAACGAGAGAGGAAAGAAAAATGAAAGCAGCGCTCAAAAAAAAAAACGATTATTTTATCTTTGCTAATTATGGGTCTCTTCCTCTTTTGGCCCTCAGGCACTTCGTTTCAGTCCCATGTTTTTTTTTCTTTTCCCACCCCTTACTTTATTGACGGTAAATACATTCTTTGTCAAACAGATCTAGCCATCTGCTTGGTATAAAGCTTTCTTGTCTGTTTGTTTATTGGCTAAAATTTTAGGAGCGGCCTTGAAAACATCGATTATTGTCATCTGAGCAAAAGAAAGTTTTTTAAAAGCTCACTACGACTACTGGCATTGTCAGATTAAAATTAAAATACACACCTTTTCACCTTTGAAAGGATACGACAGCGACAAATAACGTTATGGGTTTGTCCCTGTAACATTTGATGACCTCTGACCTCCATCTTCTTTCATTTCCTGTATTCCTTCAGGACAGTTATAGCTCTCCACAACTTCCTATTTTTAGCGCAATCTGTGTCTTTTTACTATCCCGCCGAATCTCTTTATATCGTCCATATACACAAGCTCGTTAGGTAAGTTACTCACTGTTTCTCTTGTCCCCCTCTCGTCTTCAATATGTCCTGTGAGTGTCACATTTTCCAAGCCTCTTTTCCTCGTTTTATTGCAACTGTCTCTTTTTGATTTTATATACTATTTCGTTTCCATTTTCCATAAAACTTCCTAATTGCTTACATACTTTGCCAATGATATTCTCAGCTTCTTTTAGGCTATTCAATGCCATAGAGGAGTTCTGATATTTCATAGCAGTTCAGCACTCTTTTCTTTGTTTCGAACAAAAATTTTCCTGTTTCCCCGTACTCTGTTTAAACTTTTGAAGGCATATTTTGTAATTCCAATACCTATTTCCTGTCATCTGTTAAAGCACTTTACAAATATTTTCATGGTAACTGCCCCGACGAGCTATTTTTGGACTTCCCAAACTACATGAATTTAAGCGTGCTACTAGGTTGGCATCTCAGTCCCACCCTTTCACTGTCGAAACGGTTAAATGTAGCCGTCTCTTCTACTCCAATAGCTTCATGTCTGGCACTTCCGGTCTGTGCAACTCCCTTCCTCTTAATTGCTTCCCTGATAGCTATAATCTCCAAATATTCAAATGCAATGTCAATCGACATCTCCAGATGCCTTGATCTATTCCCCGTCCTTTTCTTTATCCTTTCCTCTATCATGCCTCTTTACTCTTTCCCACACTCTTTGTAAACCCTTGCGTGCTAGTGGCACTCCCGCCTTACTTGGGGTGAAATGCTTTAAAAAAAAATTAAACTCCTGAACTTGCTGGATTTTGTGATCTCCATTTCCGAAGTCGCTTCTTAGACTGTCCCTGTTTCTAACAGACATAGATTCGTCTTCTACTTGGGGATAGTCCTTTATTCCTGCTTTCCTTGGTAGGGCTCAGCGGTGACAGATAAGACTTTCGCATCTATCTACATAGCTCTAACTTTCATTTCTGATGGCTGAAAATCGACTTCTTCCCTATTTTAAAAGCACAAAATACAAAGTCCCAACACGTGCTAGAAAATGGGTATAATTACCAAAATTCAGCGCATAAGATTATATTTTATATCTCCAGAAATAGTTAAAGCATTTACTCGAATGATCACCTGGAATGATTATTTAGAAATCGGGCCTGTAAGAGTGGCTCGTATCCGAGGGAGACCCGTATTCGAAGGAGACCTGTATCCGAGGGAGACACGTATTCGAGGGAGACACGTATTCGAGGGAGACCTGTATTCGAGGGAGACACATATCCGAGGGAGACACGTATTCGAGGGAGACCTATAATCGAGGGAGACCTGTATTCGAGGGAGACACGTATTCGAGGGAGACACGTATTCGAGGGAGACACATATCCGAGGGAGACACGTATTCGAGGGAGACACGTATTCGAGGGAGACACATATCCGAGGGAGACACGTATTCGAGGGAGACCTATATTCGAGGGAGACACGTATTCAAGGGAGACCTATATTCGAGGGAGACCTGTATTCGAGGGAGACACGTATTCGAGGGAGACACGTATTCGAGGGAGTAATTATTGAAAAATTGAGACACCTGTCTTTTATGAATTTGAAGTGATTATGTTTATCCTTTACTATTTATAAAAATCAAAATGTACATTTGCAAACATAAGTGGCAAAGCATTTTTAATTCCTTCAAAATATATCATAAATCCTAAACACTCAAGTTAAGCAACGTTAAACCCGGTCAGTAGTTATATAGGTGACCGTTTGGTAATACCAGCTGCTGCCAGCTTGGATGTGCAGGTGGTATAAAGAATAACAGTTTAGAATTGGAAATCAGAGTGCCAGGTTCCAATTCCAGTCTGGTTGGTTATATTCACTTACACGCAAATGTTATGCATCCACCTCTTCTCCCGTCCTGTGTATGAATACATCCGCATCCCGGGTAAGACGATAAACTTAACAATAAACGATGAGGCCTCAGATCAGGTTTTGTGGAGTGTAGAGCCACTTCTTAATTGCTAGTGTTCTCATGTCCAACCCGAACCCAGTGTGGTAGAACCTGTTAGGAGCCTAGCTATGGGTAAATAGTTAACCCCCAAAGTGGGGTCAAAAAACTATAAAAGTGTAAAAATAGGTTTGAATACCAAAAAATACTTAGTAAAAAATTATTACCAGCAATATATTGTCGCCAGCAATACATTTTTGAAAAAAATATTACCAGCAATAAAAATCTTGTTGGCATTAAATAACCATATATATACTGATATGCCGTAAAACAAAACAAATAAACCACCTATTCTCCCCCAACTATGGGTTAATTAATATGACTTGTGTCAGTAAATCAATAGTATCTAAAAAATTAATATAATCTCAAACTATTTACTGGCTTTAAATAACCTGAAAAATGTTGATAAGCAGTAAAATCAATCAATATAGGATTTTATGAAGAATTGTTTTTAAGATTCATAGGAATAATTCGTGTGACGCCATTTTTGAATCAATGAATTTGATCCTTACTTGGTGCCCCACTGTTGTTAGCGTATACCTATGAGCACCCGGAAACCATTCTTACTGTAGAAGGTTCAAATCCCTGACAGGGACACTATAAAGTAGGTCCAATGCAGCTTCACTAGTGTAGCTGTTAGATTCTCATTATGTGCGATGTACTATTTAATTTTGTGCCAGATAATGCACTTGATCCATTGACATGGTTGGCAGTTATCAGTCTGAAGATAAGCGCGTCACAATCTTTCTCTCTCGGTCGGTGTCTTCTTGGGGTTGGCCTTGCGCACCGGGTCAATTTAAATTTAGTAAACATTCAGTAAAGAAGAGGTTCTCTTTAACTCTATCCTCGTTACATTCTTCAGACAATAACAAATATTAATCAATGCTAATTAGTTTTGTTTCCTGTTTGGCGCAGACATAAAAATGACTAATTAATATCAGTTCTTAGGAAGAAGCATTTCATCGCCTTCAGACAATCAATCATTATATTTTCCGCGGACAGCTCAATCGGGAGAAAAAAAAAACTATGCACCTAGTTGAAAAATGGATAAAAGCCTATTTAATCAAAGTCATCAAAATATATTCTGCTTTTCTTCACAATATCCAATATTAATTTTCAGGTTCATCTAACAAAGCTAAAGAGATGACAAAGGATTTGTTATTATTATTATTATTATTATTATTATTGTTATTATTATTATTATTATTGTTATTATTATTATATAATTGTGCTTGTCTCCCCCTTCGTTAGTTTGCAAGACCGTTATGTCCTTCAAATAACTCATGAATAATGGACGATTCCATTTTGGTCGCAAGGAAAAAGGACAAAAGACACTGCTTGGTTTCAATGAGAAAATGAAATAAAAGAAATATATAAAGAAAGGGAAGATAGACGTGTTTAACGTCTATTGCAAATCAGACTTATTATAAAACCCAGCTTGTGTGTGTGTGTGTGTGTGTGTCTGTTCGTTTATATATTGGATCGGATTTCCTACATTTTTCAACTGATTTCAACAAAACTTCACAGGACTACGTAAAATTACCTTGTGGTGGTTCTGACAGCGCCAAAAATTAAAAAAACGCAATTGTTTTTGCACGAAATCAATTTGAAAACACGATTAAGAGGCATCGCTGTTTCGAGAATGAAAAGGGGACAACGCATATCGAGTTATACGTATCATAAAACCCAGGTTGTTTGTGTGTGTTCGTTTATAGTTATTTTCCAAGCGTAGCTTAGATGTGGCACAAGGCCGAAAGTATGGGGCATCTAGTGAGGATCGAACTCACTTTTCACTTGTAACTGATCTAGCAAGACAAGCTTGCTAACCATTACACTACGCCGAGGTGCCCAGTGAGTGTTCGTTTATATATGGGATCGGATTTCCTACATTTTTCAACCAATTTCAACAAAACTTCACTTTTTCTTTGGCATGTAGTGTTTCTTATTGTCTTGCACACTTTTTTCTTTATTTTTACATTCAGAATGCTTTAAAAATTCCATTTACAAAACAATTATTTATAATAAAATTGAAAAATTCTATTCAATCGGTAGACTCATAACGATTGAAAACAATGTTTTTTGTTTGAGTTTGGATTTGACCAATTCGTAAAAAAAAAAAAAAACTAATTTAGTCTTTATGATGGTGGATACTTGATCTATCTCTTACTGTTACATCCCCGGGCAACGCCGGGTACTACTGCTAGTACCTTATAAATAAAGAACTATTCCTTTTTCATTGTGTCGAAAAAAAAATACATGCGCTACTTCGTTTCAATCATAGAAAGAAAGAAAAACGGAAAGATAGAATTGTGTAATGGCTGTTTCAGTTAAATGGAAAACGTTGTCAATTTCATTTTTTTTTTAAATTTCTACCCACTCTTTAAAATAAAGACCAGAGTTCATATTTAGGATTTTTATTGCAAGATTTTTTTTTAAGTTGTTAAGCTCAAATATCTGACGATATGATAGAGGAACTTCTACCGATATTTTATTGTTATAGAACTCGCCATGCACTTAATCATTAACTTAATAAATAAGATTCATCAGAAAATTCAAATAGGAAAACCGTGAAATTTCTATTTATTGTTATTTGTATTTCATTTCCTTTGATTTCTGATGTGTACTTATTTCTTTCCGGGTCTCGACCAGTTATATACACGGATAAAGAGGGCACCTCGAGGCGGTGTAATGGTTAGCAAGCTTGGCTCGCGAGAACGATTTCGACTGAGTAGTGAGTTCGATCCTCACTGGGTATCCCATACTTTCGGCCTTGTGCCACATCTAAGCTACGCTTGTAAAATCACTATACATGGATAATGTTAATGAATTGCAGTTATATTAGCTAATGTTATATTAACATGCACTTGAGGTGGAGACTTTAAGAATTTAAGCGCAACACTACATTGACAACAAGATCTCAGTTGAAATGAATAGATGTAACCGTGTATTTTATGCTAAAAGTTTCCTCTATCGCGCTTCACACTTTGAGGAACTCTCTTTAAGCCTTTTGCTCGCCAATCAATCTTGATCTTCAAAAATTTAAATGCAATGTAAATCGTTATCTTCTGTCTTCTTAATTCCTATTCTTTTATTGTTCCCTCTTCTTAATAGTATTTTTTTTTTATATTCTCTAACACTCACTAAACTTTTGTGTCCTAGCGGCTTTATTACCTTACTTACGGTGAAATGATTAAAATAAGAAATTTCCATAACATATGTACCGTCAACACAAGACTAGGACACTGTGTGTACGTGTGCGCGGGTTACAAGAAAGAAGGACGCAGAGAGTAAATAGAAAGAGGAACATAGCGATTAAAACTCAAAGAGAGAGAGAGGGAAATGTCAAAAAGAGAACGTGACTCAGTGAAGGATTGGTGGGGTCATCTTAGATAAAGGCAACTGATTGTATTGAGGGGTTAAAATCATGCTTTATGACCTAACGATCTGTATAGGGCATTTCAGTAATTTTAAGAAGGACTGTGTCACTTTTCTATCTTACCAACTATCTGCGAATGTCTATTGGCTGAAAAGTATAGTGCTGCATTAAAATATTTAGTAGTAAGCCCGTGTAATGTATTATTATTATTAGTAGTAGTAGTAGTAGTAGTAGTAGTAGTAGTAGTAGTATTTGCCGTGTTCCCTCTGGGCGTGGATGCTTATGACTCTCTAAATCCTTTATAGCATCTTATGGTATTGGATAAAACTTTATAGCATCTTATGGTATTGAATAAAACTGCCTACTCTATGTTTCAGTTTCGTTATATCCTATAGTGAATGTTATCTTTATCTTGGCAAACATCTGTATAACCAGTTGGCGGGAAAGATTTTCCTCTGTTGTCATACACACACATCCGACTCTGGCTTCATAGGCCAAAATAATAAAATAAAAGGCATTACTTTCGAAGCAACATGAAACGTCACGGGGAAAATATATTTTAAATAATCATAGAATCTAATTTTTTTTTTAAAGAAATAACATTCGTTTGATATGAAGAATTATTTTAAAAGCGGATAAATCAAAATTGTTAACTAAATGCAATGTCAATCGCCAGCATCTGTCTCCTTGAACCCTGGTCTTTTAGCGCCCTTTCTATCTCTCTCTCTCTCTCTCTCTCTCTCTCTCTCTCTCTCTCTCTCCTCGGCGTTTTCCCATTTTATTTTTCTCTCAGTAACTCCTTGCCTCTTACTGGCTTTATAGCTTGGCTTGGAAAGAAATGGTTAAAAAATTTGGCATTAAGAACCGCACTTTACAACCAGTTCTTTGTATCGCTTAGCAATGTCTGTCTTTTGACTACCCCCCCTCTTCGTTGTGCCGTCCATTCACACAAGTTCGTTAGGTCGGTTACTCACTGTTTCCCCTCTGTCTCTTTTGATTTCCATATGCCATGTGGGTGTCAAATTTTCCAACCCTCCTTCCTCATTATGTGTCCAAGTAATTTCAGCCGTTTCTTTTTCATTCTGTGTATGAGTGTCTCTTTTTGCTTCCATTTTCCTTCAAACTTTTTCGTTGCTTACGCACCTCCGTCCACGGAATCCTCAGTATCCTTCTGTAGAAACACACTGATTAAGAGAGGAGCATGTTAACAAAGTGACAGGGGTTATAAATATAGGAGACCCTATAATACACATCATAACGCCCAATCTGATAAGTGTATACTAAGCATACGCATCACAGCCAAATGGTGAAATGTTTTGATAAAAGTAGCGAAACTTCATGCCTAAGACCCTCCATGCTACACAAACGAACCACCCTCCTTCGTTTCGTATTCCATTGATGAAATGTAATATCCACTTAAGCAACAGCTTCTCATGTACAGCTGCTTTGTGAAACCGACTCCCTAGAGGATGCTTTCCCGATTATCGCAATAATAACCTGTTCGTCTTGTTTAACAGTTGTCTTCCTCATATATCCGCATAAACGGTGCCTTTCCTCTGTAGACGTATACCTGATTGTATCAAAGGCCTTGTACAGGGTGAACGTCGGATGGAGTCGAGGTTAAAAATACCTTCAGGTTCCAACCTAACTGTCCACTCAGACAATCTTCGATGTGCGAAGTTCCCAAGTATCCAGCTATAACTTTCGAATTTCCTTGGCAACCTCATCCTTAAAACTTAAAAAAGAACTCTCGAGACCCAATCACGATGTTCACCCACTACTCTAACTTATGAACAGAGATGTACAATACGTCAGCCTCGAAAGAACATGCCCATCTTGCCACGGTCTAAGCAAATGTGTGCTATAGAAAAGTATATTTACTGTAGCTCATCTTAATTCACAATGACAAGATATATAGATGTTAAAACTTCCAATCACTTCAGATTAAAAACCCTGACAGTCATATCTGGCGTAGCATCAGATGTTACTATTGTCAATAATAGTAGTTTTGATATCCTCCCCGGCTTTTAGATGTTTCGGACGGGTACTGGGATTAAATATAAAGCTAAGAGAGAGAGAGAGAGCACTTTTGTCAACAAATGAGTTATTTGAAGCAGCGCTGCCATCTGCGCTCTCTAAATGATGTTCAGGTATCTTCAATGCTTCCTGCGAGGCAAAAAGATTCCTGACACACTCGTTTGGAGTGTGCCAATCACAAAACTAGTTCCTGCTTGGTGTATTTCTTCTATTCATCCTGCCAGTTTTTGTACCTCTCTAATTTCCACTAATCCGCCTTCTTGCCTCAATGTACCGCATAGTCTGCCAGGATCCATTCATTACCACTCTTGAACATTACCATTCGCGAAGCCATATGCTCACGCTATGAATATCCGGCCATTGCTAAATGGAGCACTTGTCATTTAACTCACTATTACATACCTTAAACGTGGAAGACAAACCAGCCACAAATGTACACGAATGACAAATGTAACCTAGTCTATATGGCAACACAGCGCTATTTACTGTAAACTTCCTTTAAACTTAACTAAAACATGAAGGATTTACGGACATACATTTATATGGATTTTTATCCTTGTTTTGGTGTCAGGAACCCACCCCTAAGATTTGTAAAAGTATTTTTGATATACATACATATATATATATATATTGATGCATGTTTCATTAAATAATATAGACAAGTTTTATTTATTTATTTTATGTAAATTCCTTTCATATCGTCTGATAAGCTTAATAACATTAACAATATATATAATTATAACAATATATATATATATATGTGTGTGTGTGTGTGTGTGTGTGTGTGTGTGTGTGTGTGTGTGTGTGTGTGTCCGGCTATATTGTCGACCCTTAGACAAGAAATTGAAAATGCATGTGCAGAAATCCCACTGGAAAATTTGACCTACGCAGTAGTTCGCCGAACTCATAAATATATGGAAGTTAAAGGCCACCATTTTGAACGTCTCTTGTGATTGTAGAGTCCGAAGATAACTTGTATTAATCTTGTGATGTCTGAATAAATTTAGTATTTCAATATCTATACAAGTTTTTCCTTTCCTGAATTGAGTACATCCTCCGATCAATCAACGCAGAACAAGGTAACAAATTAAGGATTTCTATCAAATATTCATTTAGAATACAGAATCTCGCGCGATATCACAAGGATATATGTGGGTCTAAAATAGACGCAGGCATTTTGCTCAATTATAGTTTGTTTGTTTTTGGTTTTTGGTTTTTTTTGTTTTTTTTTAGCTGGGAGGACATAATTACTTGCCTCGAAAATCAACGTTCCATATGTTGGCTTTAATTTGTAACCGAACGCTGATTACTGACACCGGCGGGAAATCAACAGCTAGATCACCCGCAAGACAAGGTCTCCATATGAAGGCACAATATTAATAGGGTGCGTAGTCAGTAATTATAAACTTAATTGCCTAGAAGAAAGTTCATAGTTCATATTTTGTACATTTGAATTAAATCTAAAAACTGCTCATTTCTGCGTTTCCCCCACATACACAAGCATACAGAAGCACACACACACACGCGCACACACACACACACACACACACATATATATATATATATATATGTAACCGAGTGGTTAGGACGTTCGCATTCTGACCATGAGACCCGGGTTCGAGACTTCCTATTATCAGACTGGAGGGATCGGTCCCAGCGTCCGTCACCTTTGAAAAGTGCCTGAACATCATGCCACGTGCTGACCCAAGACTTGTCTGTGAAATTGGGTAGACGAAACCCTTGAGGGCCGTCGATAGCTAGGTTAGCGCCAAATCACAAGTCATTGTGAGCGAAGATTTGCGTGTGCTGCATTTGTTCAGATTGTTGATCACGCTAAACACGCTCTCTCCCAGAAACTGTAACTAAGGTCTGCTCAGTATAGGTGCAGTATGGTTGGCTCTGTGGGTGTTAAACAAACACAAATGTGCCTGAGCGAGCGTCTGCAATAGGTATTGGCTAGCCGCTCTAATAGACGGGTATCCTCGAATACGAGTAGCAGCTTATTATATATACATACAGGATATTTTCATTCAAGTATGTTTGGTTTAATAATTTAGACGTATTATTTTTATTTATTTTAGTTCTAATCCTTTAATTTGTTGGTGGATGTAGAAAATTGATCATGAAATATGCGAATATTTTCTTTCAAGTACTTTTTATTTTCACTGATACTTTTAATCTCATCTGAGAGCCTCTTCATGGGGGTTAAAATATCTGTGGATATGTATACAGTAGTCGCTCCGTAAATTCAAAAAAAAATTTCTCTGTTTGTTTACGGCGTAACAAATTCAAAATTTTCAGTAATGCTAGGGAGGTAACTTTTGTAATTTATAAAAGAAAAAGATTTTTAATTGTAATATTTTAATTTAGTATTTTTTTATATAAACTTTGCTGTTACAAACATTTAAGAACTTTATCGCTGCCCTCATAGTTGATATTATTTATTTTTGGCCGCTATTCTCTTATATAAAGGGCTTCCAGAATGTTAAGTTTGATGTAATGGAATAACCAGGCACCCCCATGAACGTTTACACTATAGGTGGTAAGTACCTATAAAGTCAACTGTCTACGAGAGACAGAGAGAATGAGAAGACGCAAGCACGTCCGACCTTCCAATTAGTGGCACTCACTACTAGATTGACCTGTGTGTATATCTGTACCATATTTCATATTGTACTTGTTGTGTACAATAAACCTTTCGTCTAGTATCCACCTGGTAGTACTTATTGATTCCCTTAGCATGGAATATAACAGTTCCGATGAGGATTGTCGGAACATAACAAAGTTTTTGCTTATTATTATTATTTTGATGAAATAGTAACATATTTTGATTAACATCTGTCTAAACTGTGAATGTGAACATGAGTGATCCTTTAAATAGTCTGGGGATTGAACTATGATCATTCAAGTGAAATATAAGCCGTCTAGTCAATTTATATTTGTGCGTGATCTCGCTGTTTATATATATATATAGATAGATAGATAGATAGATAGATAGAGACGCGTGTCCGCGTTGCTAGAACGTTCACTTCCCGACCGTGAGACCCTGGTTCGTATCTCACCATGTCCGCTTTTTCAAGAAAGTCACTTCTGGATGTTATCAGTTTTAGCAGGCGATCCTCGCGAGCGGCATCCTTGGAAAATGCCTGAATGCCATGCAACAAGTAAAACAATAATAATTGTTTTTAAAATAATTGTTTTAATGTATGTGTTGTGGATTCCGAAATGAAATCCGGTCTCAAATGAATGACAAACGCAGGAATGAAATATAGCAAATAAATGTATTGACGTAATAATACAATTGGTAATACGGTTAGTAGATCCAGAAATGCGGTTAATAGCAATAATAATATATATACAGTCTGGGAAATTCAGTATCGAAGTATGACTTCCTTCTGAGTCTACGTGCTCGCAACTGTGACTCCTACAAAGTGGTTACCTCACACTCTCACCTCTCACTCCCGGGTATTCACCGGCAGCAGTACAAATAGACACTGGGCGAGTCCACTTGTGTGAAAAAGGGGTGGACCCCATAACAGTATGCTACAATTTGATTAGCGTTTATATATATATATATATATATATATATATATATATATATATATATATATATATTGTGTGTATTTAGGCAGCATCTTTCATTCATACACGTTTCATTAAATATTATAGACAAGTGTTGTCTATTTATTTAATGTTATCAAACTTATCAGACGTTACGAAAAAATTTACA